TTTTCTATGCCAAGAATCAGAAATTAAGGTTACATTTTCCCGGTCAAGTAGAGAGAGAGTTTTTCTCTCAGGTGGACACCATCAACATCAAAAGATCCGCAAATGCGCTGTCGGTAACCCGGATCATGGTCATAAGACAAAGGCATTTCGTCCTGCCATTCATCATCTTCCAAGTCAACAACTATGTTGTGAAGCAAGCAGCAAACCAGGATGATCCTTGGCAACTTATGTTTGTCAGGTCTCCACATCACCCCTTGGATGATCTTCCACATTTCTTTCAGCCTTGCCAATGCCCTGCTCGCGACCAGCCGAGTCGCCGAATGCCTTTTATTGAACTGCACACTAATTTCTGGTAGTTCTTTCCCCTTGTAAGGTATAACAAGATACGGTAACAAAGGGTAGCCTAAGTCTCCAATTATGTATTCCCTTATTTCTGATCCTTTAGAAACCTCAAACTTTTCCCCATTCAATCTCTCTCCTTTGACACACAGTTTATTGAAATTCGAACTCTGAAACATCAACCAGTCATCGATTTTACCTGGCCAACCGGTGACGATGTCCCTGAACCTCATTTCAGGGTCCACAATCGCCTGCAGGACCATGCTGTGATTCTTCTCATGATCGAGCCACACCTTACTCGCAGGGTCCGCAGAAGGCAAACACATCGTAACATGTGTAGTTTCTATGACACCGCAGCAGTTAGGAAGTCCTTGAATCTTTTCGAATTTGGACTTTATCTCCGTCATTTCGGCATTGGTGGAAGGCCATTGTAGGTGATGAAGACCCCTTTCTTCCATGGCCTCAACAAAGCGCCATGTCAACTGCGAGACGGTAGAGCGATGTAGCCCGAACGAATCACCAACTGTCACTAGTGATTCACCAGAACTTAGCCTTCTCAGAGCTACAGCTACTTGATCCTCGAAAGACAAAGGTTTTCCATTTGAAAATGTGAAACTTCCTGGCTTAGCCATCATGTCTTCCTTCACAAGCGAACATATATAGATGAAAGTTTTCCTGGAAATTCTGAAAACTGATTTAAACTTATCAAGACCTTTAGATGGAGATTGAAGGCCTGCAAAGAAAACGAGTCAATAATAAGAAAGCAGTGTTTACGGCTCCATGTATGAAACATTATTTTTTCAGGATTAGTGAATCAATGAAAAAATACAACTTTTTTAGTCCAAGTTCTAGAACAATATATAACCATATGAATGGAAAATATTGATTAGACATGCATAAATAATTGTATTTGTAATTGAAACATTAAACAATAAAATAATGCACTCAAGTTGGAGAATGACAGCATCCATTGAGTCTGATTTGTGACAAGTACAGTTAGGGCTGGTAGAAACCAAGAGGTTTCAGAAAATAGATTTTGTTGACGTATGAACAGCATAACATTCTTGACGGACGTATGCATGGTTTTCAGCTGCTATTATTAACCCAGAAGCTTTGATTAAACAAGATTAATACATTCTGCTATTAGTTATCATTTGTAAAGACAATTCAGATGGGCCCGAGAAAAGAAGGCTCATGGAAAAAGGGCAATGAACATGATGAATTTGATTCGAGAACTCTATCATATAGGTTAGAGAATAACACATTAGCTTAATTTGCAATTAATTTGCAATCAAAGAATACTTTTATTTTGACTTGCCTCAAGCCCTTAACTATTTTATCACATGTTTTCTTTCTTAATCTCTCCTAATTGACAAACCCTATGGTTTCTTAAGTGATACTAGTCCATATAATCTATGGAATTGTGAACTGTAGCCAAAAGCAATCAAAAGATATCATCCTGCATATAGCTTGAAGATGGAAGAAATAACAAATTCCAATCAATCAAACATGCTGATAACAGAAACATAAGGCTGTCAGGTATTCTTTTAACATATTCTAAGTAATTATCGGTCATTTTCTTTACATATTCGAAGTAACTACCACAGAGGTGCCCTTGAATGTTGCACTGAATTTCAATGTGATACATGAAGAGTCACAAGATATTAAGCAACTCAATACAAGATAAAGCAAGCAATAGATGTTAGCAGCAAGTCAAAGAAAGCAAGGGAAACAGATACAAGAATAGTAATACGGTAGCACTCTAACAATGGATTGGAAATTAACGACCTAACCTAATGGCTATGGGAAATCATCCTATTTCTTAAAACCAAGGATCTTGGTCCGCTGCCACCCATAATAATTAATCGTAAATTTCATTGATAACATTTTACTTAAGATAATTCAATATAATGAATGCCAAAATCATAGGCTCACAGCAGCAGTATTTTCAAGAAGAAACACATTTATCAGAACTGTTAAGCATTAGTTTAGACCAGTTGAAACCGTTGTTGTTTTGGAGGATAACCAGTTTGATCTTATCAAAAACTTTTCATGTTCATGAGATCATGACTCCAGCTTACCTTTTTCTGTATCATTTTCAATCAAAACCAATAATGAATGTAGAAATAAGAACTACATGCATGTGAAAGATAATGTGTTCCAAGGAAACAGAAACACCTTTCATTTCGCCGAGGGCATGTTTCTGGCAGAACGGGAACAATATTCAAAAGATCTATTGTACATTGGTTAATACTCTCAACTTATAAATGCATACTCAAATTAGCTACAATCACTTTCACAGAGTAGAAGTTATCTAGAACAAAGCAACAAGGCCCTTTTATTTACAACTACATCTCTCACTAGCAGGGTCCCCCATCAATTTTACACACAAACCTTTGCTCGAAGTAAATTCAATCACTACAAATGTAAGAATAGAATCAGTTTTTCAACTGCATTAGCTATCTATTAACAACTAAAACAATCCGAAGTTCAAATGATTATCATATTCAATACTGAAAAGGCCGGAGTAAAAACAAACAGCATTGTCTAAACATATCATTTCCTTGAATTCTACTAAATGCCACAATTTCCAATTTTAAATGTATCCTGACATTAAGAAAAAGGAGAATCTTGTCCTCTTCCTCCATTCAAATAACATAAAGAAAAAGAGTGTTAGGTTAACAGAACTGCTTTAGGGGTCCTGCATATATGGTCCCAAATGCACTTTCTCTATGTATTCATATCTAACTCGAACATGATATGAATTGTAGAGCCAGTCAAATTTTCTAAACCTGGAACCCAGGCATGAACTGAAAATCTATCAAATGTTAAGTTTACATATCTGCAGGCCATGAATTGTCAGCTACAGCAAATACCAATACACCACGACGAAAAAAGAAGAGTTCAAAACAAAGTTAACAAAAACGGAACAAATGTTCCAGAATCTGATATAGTAAAACTGTTGAAGAAAACTTACCATTCATCCTCCTGGAAAGACCATCCCACCAATCAACAGACCCTTCCATCTCTGAAGAGGCAGAAGCATTTTCGTCAGGTTTCTTCTCCGTCTTTCTTTTCTTCTTTGACCCTCTTACAGGACCCATCAGCTCAGAAAAGGCACCCAATTGAATCCAAAAACAAAACCCACTAACTACAAAAAACAAGAATTACAATAACTATCCTTGAATTCATTAAGAAGAACAAAACCCATTAATCGCAACACCATATCATATATCATAAACCATAAGAGAAACAGAAATAATAGGATCATGAAAGGAGCAGTGACAAGTAATAAGCAAATAACTATAGAAGAAGGACACCGAGCAGCCTTTTGTTCAATGGTGACTTTGACGAAATAATAGGAAAAGAAACGAGGAGGTAGACAGTTTTCCATGCTTTACCTGATGAGAAAATGAAAAATCCACAGGGAAGTAAACAACTTTGAAAGTGGTTTTGTTGTAAGACAATGTGCCAACACAAGCAAACGAAATGGATATTCGAATGGAGACAAGTAGACAACCTTCTCTTCTTTATAAAACCTACAAAAACATGTTCAGATTTTCCCTGGGAAGCGAAAAGAGGGTTTTGTACACAGCTTTTGGAGAGTTCTCTTAAAAATTGTGTATATATATATATAACATGCCTTGGTCTTCTACGTATACGGGACCGTAAATGAATTGGAAGGCCAATTTGCTATTAAATGACTAAAACGCCACCTGGTCTAAGGTTCATGAAGTAATGAGGTGAAACTCAGTTATAAATGGTTAGAATCCGAAGGTAGTTTTCGTCGTTAGTTTGGTCATTATGTATATGCTTTAACAAAACAAATTTTATTTGACACGCAATGCAACAAAGTTTATTTGCTTACTGCTACCAATCATCCAAATCTAACAAGTTTAAATGATAAAATATGTTTTTAGTTGATACTAGCTCTAAGATCACATTCCTCATATTAAAACAATGTTGCTCTTTTGCTTGCAAAGCATCCAGATTCTGTGCACAACAGAGACTCAGGAAAGTAGTACCATTTTAGTTTGTGTGTCTGGTCCATCATTATGTCTTGCCTTTCCTGGGATTTCATAATGTAACTACAGTTTGGGACTTGACACATTGGTCAAAAATATCGTACATCACTACGGCCCGACTAAGTATGTTGATTTGGGCCCAACATTTCATTTTGGGTTTAGCTACCAATGACTTGTTGCTAGCCTTTACCCTTGCGCTAATCATTTGGTATAAACTACACATTTTATGTTCATAATTTGATTTCAGTTTTTTTTTCCTTTTGATTTTTATAAATTAATTTTGGTTCTTTTATCATTGAATGGAGCTTGAGTCGTTAAACAAATCAAATTCAAATCCTCAGTTCAATCTCGATGTTGCATAAATAATGAAGTCAAGGACGAGAAAATAAATGAGTTTAGTCAAATCTTATTGAGTTTTAGTACTTTATTTTTTTTTTAAATCTCAAATTGAGGTCCTATTTTAAAAACGGAGCTCAATTGACTTTGAACCTAACCCGGAATCGTTAATTTCTTGAACCTTTATCTATGCTCACCTCAATTACAAGACACCCTAGCAAGCACCGTGAACACCAGATTTTTAGTAAAAACGTGCAAAGCAAATGTAGCAACAATGGCATCAAAGCCCGAAGCAGATGATAACGATTAACATGTAGGATGAAATTTCATTTCAATATCAAACTAAATTAGAGTCGGAAATGGCCTAAAACTACTATATGTTAATGCCAATGCACCGAAACTAAGGAAAACATGAACCCACTTAGCCACCACCAAAAGCTCCAAACTGAAAGTAGACAATTTAAACCCTTAAAAAAAGGTCGTTTCCAAGATTCTCAATCGCCCAACCCTACTGCTCCTCTCATTGCGAGGGCTCATCTGCCGATGCTTCACTTGCAACGCGTTTGTCGCAAAGATTGCGCTCGTCATTCGGTTCTCACTGTTTGGTACGAAACTATAAACTACTACAATTCGCGTAACTAATTTACCAAGAGCTAATTTTGATCTACACATTCTCTTCTGCTTATTGCTTGATTATAGCTGCTACTTGCACTGATGTCGTCCGTGTCAGTGTTGTCTTCTTTCTTTGATTATGAAGTTTTAGGCTTCCTTGGTATGCACTTTGCACGCACTCCATCCATCTCCTTTCCGGCCAACTGCAACTGCGCGCTCCTGCTGATTAAAAAGTTCCCAAATTAATCCAATTGAAAAAAAAGCAACAAACAAAGCCAAATCTTCAGCACATCAAACATCTAATAAAAACTAGAGGTTTGGAGGGTTGCTTATGTTATAAGCTTGAAAATGTTGACAGAATTTGTGCTTTTCGCTTGGTCCCTGCTTCAATCCTAGTACTGAAACAGTAAAACCCAACAGCAAGTTTTGAATTCCACCAGGATTTGAATACGGATCATTAATGCCAACGGCTAGCATAAATCAGGAGGCCGAGATGCATGAATCCTTAGTTATATACGTGCATCAAAAGCTGGACTTCTGGGTTAACCCGTACGAATCTTACATTCAATACACAGAACAGGCCTGCAGGATCACATATTGCATCGATTCTTTGACAATACTATAAAATTTGTTAAGATTTGAAATGCGGGTAAGATAATGAAGGAAAACTTGATAGGTAATTCATAATCATGCTTAAAATGCGTAACCAATAACTTTTGTGCATTAGTTATAGTAATTACCTGTCAGCATTGTAAGAAGAAGATCTCTTCAAGTTAGGGATCTGCTCTTTCTGGGTCTCAAGCAAGCTCCCACTAAAATATTCCTTATCTTCCAATGTTACCCTTGAGAAACTCCCAAGTTCCCTCTCGATCCCTGCTTCTTTTCCCACCTGGCTACAATTCCCCGCTCCGCGTGGTAGTCTCGATTTATAGTGTCCAATCAATGAGAACCCTTGGTCCTCCTCCTCTGTGCTGGCTCCACAGTCCCTAAACGAAATCGAACCGCACGATACCAACTGCATCAAAACGGACGACGCCTTAATCCTCCCACTCGGGCAACTCTCAGCCCTACGATTCAAGCTATCTTCGTTCCCATCACCGTTGCCCAATCTCAACCGTCCATCGGCTTTCATTAAGGTTTCCAATGTCTCCGGACTTGAATCCGACGGTGGAGGTGAAATCTCTTCCCTACTCAGCTCCGTCGTATGGTTCTGCTCCAACTCCTGACTTCGACTTTGACTTTCAGTACTTTGCATCTCTTCGATTTCCGAGTCCTTGACCACCGGTTTTCTTCTTCTCCTCTTATCATCAGTCTGAGTCGACGAATCAGCAGCAGCGAGTCTTCGGGCTGACTCGGAGCTCGATTCAGCCTTATAAACTTTGTACTCATGGAGATCAATGGAACTCCAAGACTGATTTCTACGCCGTCTCGTTGACATAAACTCACGCTCACTCCCTGACTTTTGAGACTCCGAAGGTTTCGGTAATCGAAAAGACGACGACGTTAGGTCGAGTGCTTGAGAGTTGATACTGTGGTCGACAATCTCCGATCCTTTGAGAATGTATTCTTCGCCGTGAGATGGGTTAATGAAATCATTTTCTGCTAAGTCGTGCCAAACGAATCCGTTTTTGTAACTACTGAGGTTCAACAATCGAAACTCAAGTATTAGTATCAGACAGTGAAGGGAGATGGTATTCTGATCAAAAGGTCGAGAATGAGTGAGAGTATTACCGTTTGGAGGACCAAGAGTACAGACTAGCCATGCCTTTGCCTCGAAGTAGGTTTAGCCGGTTGATTACATCTGAGAAGATAGAAACAGCCAAATTGTATTAGAATACTAAATTAGTAATGCAATAATCGCGCTGAAAAAATGCAAGGAATATAAGGCAAATCAATACTTTTCTCGGCATCCAAACAAAAGAATAAGAGGAAAGATTTTGAAAACATAAACTTATTCTTTTACTTTTCCTTCCCCGTTAAAATATCACTTTTTATTTTAAATTTTTTTACAGTTTTCTTCTTTACGAGAAACCATAAAGTTCGCCTTTTTTTTTGTCAGCAGCAGCTGCAAGGTATAACGATTTCGCAAATGGCATTTTTTGGTAACGTGAAAATAAATCCAAAATTTTGAACTCCTCTTAGTTTCCTAAAAAACTAAACAACAGATACGGAAAAAGTTTAGGAAAAAATTGCTTCTGCTGTTTCTTCTCCATGAGAAAAAACCCAGAGCGAAAAGTGCAATTGTGAGGGTTTAATTGTTTTACCTTTGAGATAAAGTCCATCATTAGAAGAGCGAGGAACTTTCATAAAATGAGGTTGTTCAAGCTGACCATTTCTAGACAAATAGTAAACAACAGCAACTTTTCTTTCAGAAATGGAAGACTTGTTGTTGTGAGGCTTGGGTTTAATCCTGACTTTGTTTCTTTCTGGGCTTATTTTCCTGTCATTCCACTTCCTTGGAACAATCCCCCCGAACTCTGTCATTTTCCCTCTAGAACTGACCGCCATTGCACTTTCTTCTTCCTCTTCCTTTTTCTATCTGAAAAAAAAAACAACGGAAACAACAAAAGAAAGAGGATAAGATACTATAATGGGGAGGAAGCTTACAGAGTTTGGGGGAAGAAAGCGACTTTACCTGGTGGAGAAGGTCGTAAGTGAAGAGAGAAGAAATGGGTAGGTTTCGATTTTATAGGAAATGGATCGGGGGGTGTGAAATGGAAGAGAGTTTCAAAATGGGGATGCGGCAGACAACAGCTACCAAACAAATTAGGCCTGTTTTTGTTTCACTTCTTGAATGCATTGACAGTCAAATTCCTACTTTATTTTATCTCGTACTATCAAGATTAAAATGGCAAAGTCAAACGGTGCCGTTCGTCACACTTTTTCTTAACAACAATAATTGCAATTAACCCTACTCGGGGTAGATTTTTTTTATAGCGACATGTGTTCGCTTTATTGTTCAATTAATATTAATTATGTACTATAGAAATGAATACAATAATTTTATTTTATTTATAAATAATATAACTTACCTCTTAATTTTAATTAAGATATTTAATATTTTATTCTATTAGATTAATTAATAGTTGATATTCGACGTAGTTTAATATTGTTATTATTATTATATTTACGAGAAGTGAATAGTTACTCCCAAATTGAATATAAATTTATCAAATTTTAATTAATGGTATGTTTGTTTGTCGTAATTAGAATTACAGAATTAGTTTTTCTCGAATTTTCATGTTTGTTTCACGTAATTCGTTTTTCGAAAAATGTTTTCTCGTGTTTGTTTCACGTAATTCGTTTTTGCGGAAAATATTTTTCAGTGTTTGTTTCACGTAATTGGTTTTCCTGAACGTAATTCATTTTCCTAGTAACAAAATTTCCTTTTTGTTTTCTGGAAAATGACTTAGGATTCATTTTCCGTAAGTCATTTTCCGAACTTTTCACTTCAAAGAATAAATACTCAAAATAATTTTATTTCATGAATTTAGTATTAATAAAAATATTTTAATATCATTTTCATCAAAATATTATTTATTAATTTATTAATATTTATAATAATATAATATTATAATTTTAATATTATATAAAATAATCAATTATATTATAATAATATAAGATATTATATTTTTATTTTAATAATATATAATAAAAATATTTATATATTTAATAATGAATAATATTATTTATATATTTAAATAATATTTTAATAAAGATATTTAAAATATACTAATTAATATTTTTAAAATATAATATAACACTATTACTTTAATAAATAATTTATAATATTTTTATTTCACTAAAATATACAAAAATTAATATTTTTATTAATAAAAAAATAAAAATACTATTTAATAATAAATAAATTATTTTTAATAATAAAAACATTTTATGATAAATAAGGCAGGCATTAAGTTAGTTTTTGAGGCAGATAAACTTGTACTTTCCCGAAATGGTGATTATGTGGGGAAAGGGTTTTTAAGCAATGGTTTATTTGTCATAGAAACTCAATTTAATGAAAATAAAGCTACCACTTCTGCTTATATTGTTGAATCTATTGATATGTGGCATGCTAGATTAGGACATGTGAATATTCATGCTTTAAAGAAATTAATGAATATGAATGTTCTGCCTAAACTAGACACAACTAGCTTTAACAAATGTGAGATTTGTGTAGAATCTAAGCATACTAGACCTCACTTTAAGACTGTTTCTAATAGAAAGACTGAACTGTTAGAACTCATTCATACTGATCTAGCATATTTTAGAAACACTGAAAGTAAAGGAGGAAAACACTACTACATAACTTTTGTAGATGATTATTCAAGATATACAAAAGTTTATCTCCTAAGAACTAAAGATAAAACTGAAAAATTCTTTCTTATTTATAAGGCAGAAGTAGAAAATCAGTTAGATATGAGAATCAAACGGGTTAGATCTGATAGAGATGGTGAATATGGATCTAATTTCTTAAAAGATATTTGTGAAAAGAATGGCATAATTCATGAAATTTCAACCCCCTATTTTCCTCAACAGAATGGTATAGCTGAAAGGAAAAATAGAACTTTAAAAGAGATGATGAATTCTTTACTAATAAGTTCAGGGTTATCTGATAACATGTGGGGGGAAGCCATTCTATCAGCAACTCATATCTTAAACCGGGTTCCTCATAAGAAAATAGATTCTACCCCATATAAATTGTGGAAAGGATACGTTCCTAATTTACAATACCTGAAAGTATGGGGGTGTCTGGCCAAAGTGGGTTTGTCAGACTTTAAGAAGTCCACCATCGGACCTAAAACTGTTGATGCAGTGTTTATAGGGTATGCTACGAATAATGCTGCATACAGATTCATGCTTTTACAAGATTATTCTATTTGTGAGTCAAGGGATGCTGTTTTCTTTGAAAATAATTTTCCTTTAAAGGAACCGAGAATGAATATTGAAACACAAATAGAATATATTCCATCCACTTCTTCTAGTAATCCTGCTAGGTCTTCTGAACAAATTGATTTCGAGCCTAGAAGAAGTAAAAGGCAAAGAGTTGAAACCTCTTTTGGACCAGACTTTATTTCTTCCTTTATTTCTAAGATAAATGATTTAGACTCCATTTCAGATCCTATAGCTCAAATTTTCTGTTAGATGAGGATCCAAAAACTTTTGAAGAAGCTATAAGATCTATCGATGCTAGTTTTTGGAAAAACGTTGTTAATGATGAACTAGAATCGATAATGTCTAATCATACTTGGGAATTAGTTGACTTGCCTAAGGGATTCAAACCAATCTCCAACAAATGGGTCTTCCGGAAGAAACTAAGGCCAGATGGTTCGATTCAGCGGTACAAGGCAATGTTAGTCGTCAAAGGGTTCACTCAAAGGTTTGGTTTAGACTACTTTGATACATATTCTCCTGTTACAAAAATCTCAACGATTCGTGCATTATTTGCACTAGCCTCTATTTATAAGTTGCAGGTACATCAAATGGATGTTAAGACTGCTTTATTGAATGGAGATCTAGATGAGGAGATTTACATGGAGCAGCCACTAGGTTTTAAAGCACCTGGTATAGAAGGCAAAGTCTGTAGACTCAAAAACTCACTCTATGGACTTAAGCAGGCTCTTAAAAAGTGGTATGAGAAATTTCATAAAACTATTCTTAGTTTTGGTTTTGTTGTGAATGGTTCGGATGCTTGTGTGTATTCGAAGATGTTTGACACTGAATGTGTTATCATAAGTCTTTATGTTGATGACATGTTGATTTTCAGTTCTAACATTGAGTCCATTAACAAAGTTAAAAATTTCTTATCCACTAAGTTTGAGATGACAGATTTGGGAGAAGTAGATGTAATCTTAGAAGTCAAAGTTACCAAAACTGAGAAGGGATTTTCTTTATGTCAAGCACATTATATAGATAAAGTGATAAAGAAATTTGACGGTTCTGATGTCGTCCCTGTTCGAACTCCTTATGACCCTAGCATATATCTAGTTAATAATAAAGGAAGTAGTGTTTCCCAAACTGAATATGCTAAGTTAATCGGAAGCTTAATGTTCTTAATGAAGTATACCGGCCTGATATTGCTATGCTGGAGTAACTGAGTAGATATACTCATAATTCGAGTGGTGACACTGGATTGCTCTTAAACGCTTATTGAAGTATCTTAAGGGTACTTTGGATTGGAAACTTGAGTTTGTTGGATTTCCTGCGGTACTGGAAGGATATTGTGATGCCAACTGGGTTTCTGATAATGATGAGGTAAGCTCTACGAGCGGGATGTTTTTACTTTGGGTGGAGCAGCAATCTCGTGGAAATCATCAAAGCAGACTTGTATTGCTCATTCTACTATGGAGTCAGAGTTTATAGCTCTTGACCTAGCTGGGCAAGAAGCCGAGTGGCTCAGAAGTTTGTTAGCAGATATTCTGTTATGGGGAAGACTGACTCCTCCAGTTTCATTATTGTGTGATTCACAAGCTGCGATATGTGTGGCTAAGAACCAAGCTTACAATGGTAAGAAAAGACACATTCGTATAAGACATGAGTCAGTGAGACACTTAATAAAGAATGGAGTGCTCTCTTTAGAGTATGTGAAGTCAGTAGCAGATCTACTTACCAAAGGGTTAAGTCGGAAGCTGGTCCTAGATTCGTCGAGGGGGATGGGTCTTAAGCCCACTGATTGAGGAATTCATGGTGGATACCCAACTTTTATCTAAGTTCTATGTGGTCAAACGAAAAGACTCATAGTGCACATTCCTACTGCCTATCCCTATGATGAATATGTGCATGCCCAGATGAGCTTAATTGTTCTTAATAATTCATAGCCCAGGCTTTGGGTGGTCTTAGTGAGAAACTTGATGAATTTACCAATTTTGGCTGAATTTCTATTCTTAATAAGTTCATAACCCAGAGTGAGTGGGTAGAAATGATGAACTTACCGACAAAGGTTGAGTTTGTTAAACTCTTAATAATTCAAATCTAATATTTGGATGGTTCTAGTGAGAAGGACTTATTGAATTTACCGATAAATGAGGTTGAATATTATTCTAATGACTTGCCCGAGTATGGTGGTTTCATTTATAATGAACTGAAGAAAGTCACCATACCCGTTTGTGAGGTTGAGCTATTATAAAAGCTCTTATTATTTCATATCCCTTTTTAAAGGGTGGTTTTGTGTTAGATAAACTTGATGAAAATAACCTATGTAAGTGAAGGGTTAGCTTCTCTATGAAAATGTTGGGCCATTTTTCTAGCACACTTACTAGAGTCCGAGGTAAGATGCCAATATATACTTTGTATATATATATCTTACACATAGAGGACTCAGTTGAAGGGGTTTGTGTGTTTATTTTTACCCTGATCTTAGAAGTTCCATACTAGTTTCACTTATCTAAGAGAGATTGTTCATCATCACTATGTACTAGTTTCCAGATACGTTCACTAGTGCTTAAGCAACTAATCTCGCTATTGGTCTTCTGGAAAGTTTGTTTTCGAGTTTCAGAAGATTTCTTTCGCATTAGTGGGGGAATGTTGGTAATGCTTAATCCCACATAGTATTATAAATACTATTGGGAATGGTATTTAAGGCTTGGCTTTCCCACTTCCTTGTTGAGTGATAGAGAATAAGGGGGACTCTCGCGCATCGCCGCCGCCGTCCGTCCGTCTCGTCTCGGCTCGACACGGCACGGCACGGCACGACATGGCTCTGCTCGGCTCGACTCGGCTCGTGGTCGTGATCGTGGTAATACGTGTCTTCAACACGTCCGCGC